ATCATCAGATGGTAAATAGTGCACACAATCAGCAGTACATTTCTTGCCAAGCTATACAAAAATCCTCTTATAAAGTTGTTTTAAAATTAATGTAATTTAGGAAAAATTTTTTGAATTAACGGGAACAGTCAAAAATGAAGTAATCAAAAACGAAATAATCGCAAATGGAGTAATCAAAAGTGGAATAATTAAAAATGAAATAATCAAAAGTGAAATAACAAATAACGAAATGATCAGAAATTAAATAACCGGAAATAAAACAATCAAAAATGAAGTTAACATTGAATTTATTTACTATCATAGGAACGAATTGTAGAAATTAAGCTTTGTGATTTTTAATTGCAAATTATTATATAATTATGTAATCTAACAAAGCATAATAATGATAAGTTAAGTTATCAATTTCAGGAATACTTAGAAATTTATTTTCGTTTAATTTTCACTTTTGGATCACTGTGGAATTGACCGATTATAAATTCATGAAAAATATTTAATTTTTTTTTTAATTTGAAAGAAACTAAAATTTTAACACTGAAAGAGAAAGAGAAAGAGAAAGAGAGAGAGAGAGAGAAAGGGAAACCTTCATGGAATGTTCAATTTGTCTGTCAAGTTCTTCTTGATTCATTTCTGTAACACTTCTTAAAGAATCCTGATTCGTTAATTTATTTCGCTGCTGACGTTGCAATCGTTTATTCAATTTTGCGGTATCACGTTTCTCTTCCATTTCTTGTATTACCGTTTTTCGTATTCGTTCACGTATTGTTTGTGTATTTGGTACGGAAGATATAGTAATTTTTTCGAATCCAGAAGATTCCGCGGAAGAAATTGACGGGCTAAAATATCTTTTAGCTAAAAAAAACAAAAATAATCGATAACGTTCAAAAAATATGATTGCAAAATTTTTTAAAAATAGTTAGATTAAATTGAAAACTCAAAAAATCAATGTTACTCAACTTTTATAAGTCGAAAGTTACAATAAATATTTCATTTAACAATTAACATATTCAAAAGAATAGCAAATCTTCAGTTGTTTTTTTTTCTTTTTCTTAAATATACAAAAAAATCAATTTGAAATTAACCTGCTAATTTGATTTACGTTTGAATTGTCGTTATCAAATGATTCACAATGCTAAAAAAAAACAACTTTTTTGGTTCTTTAATTAAATTCAAGATAATTAAACTATGCATGCAGAATCATTTCAATCTCATTTCATCCTGTTAAATTTAATAAAATCAATTTCAAATTAATATTGTTTAGACATAGAAATGCTGTGAAATTTGTTTCGCCCAATGAAATTTTAATAATACTATGCTGTAATTTAGAAAGAAAAAAAGAAAAAGGGAACGAAAAGAATTGAAAATTTTTGACATACTGAAATGGTTGTTCGAGATTTGTTTCTATCCGTTGCTATTGGATTCATTTTCTGGGCCACATTTTCATCATCATTTTCAAGGCTTTCCACCCAACTACTTTGTTGCATTCCAAATATTCCCTTGGTTGGTATCGTTAATTCTGCAATACTTTTCGTACTGTTACTTTCCATTATCTCAATTGATTCAATTCCTTTTTTAGACTTCCATCAATCACTAGTATTGTTTCTTAAATAAACCAGCAAAATTAGGATTATATCGGAATTATCAATCAACATATAGAAAATGTCGAAATCAAAAATTACACTCGAAAAATAGATTCCTTTAATATTATTACTTTAATTTCGTTGAGAATTTTAATCAATTTCTATACAGTTTTACAAATACAATCAAAATTAGAATTATGAATCAAACCCCAAAGAATGTCGGACTTCAAATCAAAGAATATGATCTATAAGTTCAGCAAATTATTTCCTCAATGTTATTGGTTTAATTTGGCTCCAGATTTTAATCAAGTTCTGTGTTCTTTTATGATTAATTATTAGTATTCGATATAATTTTATTTGTTAAGTTTGCTAATGTCAATTACACTAAATAATTATCAAACTTCCTTTTTCCAAAAACCTTTGTAATATTAATTTCAGTATTTTTCTCTTTAATTTCCTGTAGTAATATTTAAATTATTTTAATCATTTACAATTTATTTCATCTATTTTATGCACAAATTCAAAACACAACGAGAACAAAAAAAAAGCAACCCAGCAATGTTATAAATTAATTAAAGACATATTTGACTAATCACAATTAAATTATTCAAAATGTTATGTGTCATCTAAAAGTGAACGATATGGAAAATTGCAAGTGTCTACTTGCAGAAAAAAAAACAAATGAAACTTCGAAAAAAATTTGATTACAAAAACCCAATGTTAGACCATTTTGATTGATTGGTAATTTGCTAAAAACATCTAATATTTAATCCTTTTATTCAATGATTATCAAATACATTTAATATTTGAAACGTTAAACAACAAAAAAAAAATTTCTTATGGAATAAAAATTAATTATTAGCATTGCACCAGGTGAATTTCAGGTAGTACTAGAGTAAATATATAAATTTGAGATGAGGAATCTGCAAATTGATAAGTGTCACATGACAAACCGTTGCTATTGACAACGGTATATTTATTAGTAATTAAATATCCTTTGTGAACAAATAAACTAACAGTGTGCTTCAAATTATTGATTTTGGTCTGAAATTTAATTCTGATTTGAAATCCAATTAATTGATGATTAAATTGAAGTTTTTTCGACCTTTTTTCTTTTTTGATATGAAAAATTTTGTTGAATGGAAAAATTATTAAGAATATCGCATAAATAAAAGTATGACATTTGAGGCTAATTTTGAATCATAAATGATTTTAATTAATACAATTTTGTATGCATCATTTACTATTTGAGAAGTTAAATAACAAAAGAAAGATTTCTTGCAGAACAAAAATTAATTAGAAAATCTAATTATGATACCATTAACTAGTTTAAAAACCTAATTGTGATATCATGATCGTTTTCAGTATCAATCGTCTTTTGGTTTGTTGTCGTATTTTTGATTACTGTTGCTGTTGATAAATGCAATCAGTGAAATGGATGATTTCATAAAGTATCTCTGATTTACTCTTATATGATAATACATTATCATTTAATATCCGTTCTGCTTATCGTAACATTATACGTACTAAAATTTGGAATAAATATGGATTTAAATGGAATAAATCATTCAAAAGATCGAAAAATTTTCGGACAATTTGATAAAATACTTAACTTACATTACGATTTTAATAATTGTTTTGCCAAAATTGTTTCCTTTCTTCCTCTATAATGTCTTACTTCGTCGTAATATTTTGGTTCTTCTTTGATACCATAAATTATAAGTGTTATATTACTAACAGTACTGTTATCGCCTTATTTGCTATACTCATTAAAAATATTTAAACAAATGAAATGTTTGAAAGATTAACAGTTCCAATTAACTTATCTTAATTTAATTAGTGAAGTTAATTATGAATTCAATTTTGATAAATTAATTTTTTGACAACAATTTTTCATTTTTTTTCGAAATATTTAAATTTAGGGTATTGTCAGATAGCGATTAAAAATCTCCTAGTTTGATCAATTTAACTTTGCAAGATATTTAAATTTAGTAGAAACTAACAATTTTGATCAATTTAATTCAATTTGAAAGAAGCTTAAACCTAAATCAAAAATCATCCGCTAAAATCCCAAAGATCAATGATAACATTTGAAAAGAGTATTATTGTCTATGGTATTAGATCGTAAGTATATATTTTAAGATTTTGTAATAAAAAAGTTTTTCCCATCTCTTCCTTCCCTTCCTCGTACCAGTTTGCTTACAGTAGCGATAATGAAATGTCTTCTTTCTTCACGCGATAAATATAAGTCATTTAGCAACGACCATTAAAACTTGCTCAAATTATAGATTTGGCCAATTAACCTTGGCCTTAATGTGCAATTTCTAAATTCTTTGCGGATTCTTACTCCAAGTGTATCGACATAAACGGCCAATGTTGAAAGTTAATGGATGATTGATCTTAGCAACACATTGGTGCCTAAAAAATCTTTTCTATGAGTAAAATTTACTAAATTTAAAACAGCTTTGGCGCCCAACAAAACAATTTTTTATGAGTAGAATTTTACTAAATTGAAAAAAAAAATCGTGCAAAACAAAAATGAAACCTTTTGGTAAAGTGATCGAAATCGAAAGATGTCCACATATGGGATAATATGCATTCAATATCAATTGTATATAAGTCAAATAATTTCATTCTTTGGTCCCTCACAACCATCTGTTTGAAATTTGTTTACAGTAACGTTCTCATCATTTATTTCACTAAATAATACTAATAATTTTGCAAAAAAAAAAAAAAACTAAATACTTCAAAAAAACGAATAAGGAGATATAATGTGGTGTGATGATTCAATTCTAATTCTAGCACTACGTCGTCTTATCGTAATATTCATCTCTATCATAATATCTATGAGGTTGAAGACATACTGTATCATATAGTATCCAAGCATCCAGATGCAATGCACGCTCTAATAGCTCATTTGACTATTTTGAATTAAAAAAGTTGGAAAAAATGGTGACGATTAAATTCTCCAGTTATGGATGAATTTCGGATACCTAATAGAATACATTTATTCTCGAACTATTTCTGGTATTTCAATAAATTTGGCTGGCGTACGATCATTTGCTTTTTATGTTAGCCATTCGAAAATGTCAATGTTAAAGTATCGGGACATTTTCCCGCATACCATGATGAAGTATCATCTTCAGTTACACTTGATACTGATAACGTATAAATCCTATCCATGTAACCATCATAACTGCAATCATCATTCCTCATACCGCCATTATCCGTTGCCCAGACATAAGTGATACCTTTGCCGCCATGTCCCTACCAAAAAATATTTAACACACAAAAAGAACACTATCAAAAAAGAATTCTTTTAACGGGATACTGTAATCATAATGTAGTTTGATTAGAAGATACTCCAAACATTTAATATAATTTTCAAAATGTAAAAGTTTTCAATACTTCTTGAAAGTTTTTTAGAATGGCTTTTTTTATTAATTGTCCAAGACCTTTAACCTTTTTCCCACCATCTTTTGGTCCCCCATTATTGGAAAAGATATTGATATGATCGGTGTTATAACTCAAACTTTCCGCTTCAATTCGATTTATTACTTGATCATTTAACATTTATATACCTGCAAATATCAAGGAAAAATAGGAACTATTAACTAAATTGGCATATTAGGAGTTGTGTAAGAATGGAACTTAATAGTTAGGTAAGTAGCAAAACTTGTGTTGATCTGAAAGGTCAAAATAACTTGTGTTATCATCTCATTGCTTTTTAAAAAACAAATAAAACCTAAGATATGTGCGTAAGAAATACACGAAATACCGCCTATTTTAGGATCATATGCTATATGAACAATAACACAAAATGAATTATGCGACACCATTGTAACTTCATCAGTACAACGAGTACTATGCCTAAATTCATAAATCGAGCTAGTAATACTTGACAGTTCTTTAATAAGTTTAATGATCAAACTTTGATATGGAAAGAATTGAAGTGATAAATCTTTTAAATGATAATTGTTTCATCCATATGTTCATTTATTTAACTAAAAATGTAAAATCTACCTATCAATTTCATTAGATTTAGGCATTGGATTAGAATCGTTGTCGTTTTCAGATCGTATGAAGTTTGAAGATTCTAAAAGAAAATGAAAAATAAAAATTATCATTGGATTTCTTGGATTTGCAATAATACACGAAGTTTCTTTTTCTGTTTTGAAATTCAAATTAGTTTTTTAGTAGAAATCTTTTGCTTCTATTATTTACACGTTCTGTAACATTGTTCAAATATTAGAAACTAACATAATTGTTAGCAATATCCCTATGATTTTGTTGTATGCCACCATCCTAAAAAATAGAATCATCGGTTATCTCTAAATTTGATCAATTAATTTAATTTACTGGTATCGCCACAAAATGATGTCATATATTTGGATAACATGTGCAAGCAAGAAATCTTATCAAGTTTATAAAAACGTCATGTTTAAGGACAGCTGAATAATCTAATGATGCCGGAATAATTAACGTTGTGTGCTAATTAATCGCTTTGCATCTTCTGATTGGTATCAAAACTGTACATCAGATGTTACCAAATTCTAATTAAATCTTTGATCAGTATTTATTGGCTAATGAAAAGATTATTAATGTACAGATTTGTCGTCACCGAAAGTTGTGACATAATCAGAGAAGAAAAATCATCAATTCTGGTTATTCCGTTACACTCTCCTACAAAGCAGTAATGCTAACTTTGGAGAGTAATTTATCGAAATATACGAAAAAGTTAAATTCTCCAAAGAAGATTTATAAAATTTTAAACAATTAAATTTTTGATCAATATTGTCATAACGACATTTTTTTCTAGTATAACCAACTTTCCAAGCTTTCATCACATGTATGCTGATCGGTTGACCATTTCTAGTCATCGAATTTTTCTGATTTATCTCTTTATTCTGCAAATCTTAGCTTGCAAAAGTGTTGCATTTTTTACAAGCAGATGAATTCCTAGTTTTAATTCTGGCTAATTTTGAGTTATAAATTAAAATAGCAATCCTTATTTAATTTCAAATATTGGTTTCATATTTAATCGTTGTCTTTTTTTCCTTTATAATGCAATAAAAAAAATTTAAAAAGTTGGATAAATTTCTTTGAACGGACAACTATTTTGCATTGACTGTTTAATTATCAAATTGAAATGTGACATATTAAAATTTATAACATAACATTAATTTTCGAGAATTGTCACAAATTTTTCCTTTCGTAAATTATTTAAATCTTTCTTTCCTCTTTCTTATTCGAAATTTTCTTTAAAATTATTCATTCTATATAGTAATTAATTCAAACATTTAAATGTAAAAATTCCATTATTGAGACCAAAAATGGATCGTTAAAAAAGGTATTATTGTTATAATTAGTATGGTTAAGAGTAAATGCCGAAATATTGTCAATATGACATTCATGAATATATTGTTGTTCCACCAAAAGTACCTTTAAAATTCTTTTTTTTTCTCGCTTCTTTTTGAAAAAGAGGCAAATGAAGGATTGATTCCAAAATAGAAAGTTTTTAAAAACGTCTAAAATCAAAACTGAAAAACTGATTCGGAAATAAAAACTTAAAATTTTATTTTTAAGAAATTGGATTGATGAACTGTATTTCGTCCATTCATTTTTGTAATTTGAAAATTGTAAGAAAAAAAAGAAAAAGTGAAAACAGTGAAAAATTGAAACATGAAAAATTGGAGAAAGTTACGATAAAGATAGGAATAATGGAATATTGATAAACTTGAAAACTTGAAATGACGAAGAACATTTTTATGATGATCAAGTGTTAAAGTTGATTTGCTATCTGCTTTTCTTTTTTCTCGCTATTTTTCTTTTGAGAAAATGTAGAAATTATCAAAACCACGAGCTCGAAATAAATTCAAACCTGATCATTGATTTATATGAAAAAACATTACTCGCAGTATCATATGCTACTTCAAAACTATTTGGTGTATTTCAGAAAAAAAAAACAAAAGTATATAAAATTAGACCAAATCGAAAATTTTAAAAAAATTTTAAGCAAAGATTTCACCGTCTAACCTTTGATAATGTAACATTGTAACATAAAACATACGGGAGCATTATGCTTATATCCGACAACCTGAGCGATACTTTTTGCATCCTATGATTCACAATAATTTCTATCACTCACTCATTATCGTACTCTTCATCGTTATCAGCCTTAAAAATTATATTTGATTATAAATTACTATTCTAATGATTAGCTTTAGAAAAGAAGGAAACATGTAAGAGACAATGACAAATGATATATTATGTTATCATTTCACATAAAATTAATTAGCAATAAAATCACAGTGGAAATGAATATTGATAAGTATACATCGAGATTTCGCGGTCTGTTATTTAGTGGAGTATAACATGAAACACGTTAACGATCTAGAACTAGTCTATGTTTTCGAATTTTTCCTTTCATTTACCTACTAATTAAGCTGTCAACAAGTTAATAGATTAGTATTGTATAATTTATCAGAAGAAGTCCAAGATATAATGCAGAAAATAGGCCTTAAGGCATTTTGGTATGGAGAAAAATCTAAGATTTTCAGCAATGACCAATCATTACCTAATCATTATTATCAGTAAATACTTATTTGTTGCAGTTCTTCATCTAGTTGCAGATATTTTGGTAACAATTTGATTAGCTTTTTTCATCATTATTTGTTGCCCAGACATGTCAATGAAATGTGACACATTCAGATATTATAGTAATTACGGTAATAAAAAGAGCAGCAGTTGTTAGTAGGACTGAATAAGTTCTGGGAATTTGAAATATCAGCACGTAGAGAATCATAATTTTAACTGCTGAAGGAATTGAATAGAAAATTTTCAAAAAATATGCTAATTTTAAATTTAGAAATTTGAAACATTTACAATTTAAAGTAATCCAAATAACGCGTAAAAACAACGGGAGTCGAATCTTGTTTTTTCTTTTTTTTTTTTCTTTTGTATTTTACTATTTGTTCATAGATCGAAATAGAATTAAAACTTAATTGTGATTAATGGAATGTAAAATCTGCAAGTTAACAGCAAAAAAATATTTTTGAAATATCAATTAAAATTAAAATTGAAGAAGTGAAAAGTTTTGTTAAAGAATTAAAATAAAAAGTTTACAAGAGAAATATTTAAACAAATTGAGAGAAAATAATGCAAAAAAAAAATATTCACTTTTCTTATTTGCTAAGATTTTTATACCATTAATTCAATCATTATCAAATTATCAATGTCACACAAATAATTATATCATACTATATTAATATCTCATCAGTATATCATACTATAATATTACATCAATCAATATATCATACTGTATCAATATTACATGAATAACTATCTATTCTATACTTTTGCTTGTAAAATTTACAATGTTAATTTGGAAGAATTTTTTTAATTTTTATTTTCTGAGATAAAGAGATGAAGGAGAAACTGTATGAAATGATGAAAAATTGACTGAAATAATCACAAAATAATCATTATTATTCTTCAAAACAAAAATACGATGGAAAGTACGGTATAGATCATATGAAAAAAAAAGAAAATAAACCTAGATAATGATTCGTCATCGTCACCATTGTCCTGTTCTTCGTC